TTAAATGTCAACGCTTTAAAAGAAAACTACAGAGAGAACTATAAATTGATAATAAATGAGATTGCTATGGTGCTCTACCTAACTTTATGAAAATTTTATTATGCTCCTTAAGTTTAATCAAATATTATAAACTTTGCTTTGGTGATTGCATAATTATTTAATTTAGTGATCTAAGGCAATTGCCACCATTGTCCAAAACAACAGACGGGAATTACTGCTTTCTTCAACCTGCGCCATAAACGTCATTGATTGGTATTGTATATAGGGTGATTAAAAACATTTGAAGTTAACTTCTGGCATCTACATATTGGGTTTCTGTGAATTATGTAGGTATATCAAATTATACTATTTATTATATTATACACTGAATTTGTGTATATCACAATCTTAGACGTCCAGCATTGACATGACAATGCAGCCACTGCCAATTTTAAATAGTCGACGAATAAAAGTAAATGAATTTTATATTTACTGCTAAACTATTAAAAAAAACACAAACAAAAGATGACTTTTAGAGTAAGTGCTAGTTTACTATAAAATTAACATACATAAGAGATATTTATGTAACGACTTGATTTAACTTCACACATTTTTGCGAAAATTTAGGCCCATCTGTAGCCTTGACCCTGCTGGTAAAGTCTTTATATGTCTTAATAAATCAATCTTTTAGACCGCCGCCAGGTTCATAATAATTCCCGCGATATTAATTCCCATACTGAAGTAACAAGACTACGGTATATACCGTCTTAAAATACTAACTAAAAAGTATGAAATAAAAAAGGTAAATAAAAAAAATCAAAAAACCCGACTGCTTAATTATACTTCAAATAAAAACTGAAAAAAAAAACAAGTCCAGTAGTCTATAATTCTGTTAATAAGGAACAAAGCTACTTTAACAGTCGGGACCCACTGTTGAAAAATATTATGTATTCTTGAATATCTAATGGGTCCCGACTGTTATTACAGTCATTTACTTACGATTTCGAACCTAGAAAATAATATTTCATGATTGTTGGTTCTTAGGCTAACTATGTATGGACGCTGAACAATGTCCTTTATAGATTGGTACTATGTTAATACATTAGTTGTTATTTGTATCTAAATCTAATAATATAAAGTATATATAGTATAATGACGATTTGGACGCAACCAAAAGTCATTACCGTTCGTTGAAATTTTGATTTTGCTGCCCTAGACGTTCGGCCCTACATAGATGGCTCAGGTAGGGTGGGAGTACTTAACTAGGTGCAAGGTTGTTCCCCACATGTTATTCTGCCGCGCTCGAGTAAATCCAAAAATCCCCGCTTGGGCTCCCCTACTATAATGAATGTGCCAATGGAATTTCTCTATATACTCACTTTATATAATTAATGAGTATATGTCCGTGCTCCATGATTTAGATACAAATAACAACTAATTTATTAACATAGTACCAATCTATAAAAATCCCCGCTTGGGCTCCCACGTTACGTTTAATATATATGTGTACTGTCTGTCACCCGCTAGTACTATGTAGCTCTGTATCGATTTTATGATATAAAACTTTGTCATTTTAATCACCATGAAACTCACTTTCCGCAGGTATAACTTTGATAATTGTAAGTTTAATACTTTTGAGAAAATCATATCAGAGTTCCAAGGTTTACAAGAGACCCGGTTTATTTGCTTTCAAGTACGTAGATGAAGTACATGTTGTTTTGATAACAAGGTCATTACTTATGTAGATCCCTCGGGTACGATATCTAGAGATTTGAAGCAAACCAATAACAAAAATGGACAGCAATTAATAAAAGGAGTTAGTTACTTATTCAGCAAGGCAACCGTTAACATAAATTCATTAGGTACCTTATCTTGTTATAGATATCACTGCGAGTAGGGTTACTATTTAAAAATTTGAAAAGTCCTGACAAAAAGCCGGACATATCGATAAAAGTCCGGACATTTTAGTCTCAAAATGAAAACATCACCCACTTAGTAACAGTGATATTATACGCGTTGTAGCAAGCGATTTGCTGATTTCTAAAGATAAATTTATATTTTTAATTTAAATTAATGAGAACTTAATAAAGATAATTTGACTTATTTGGTATAACTTAATAGGTAGTTTTACTCATATTCCATCTAATTAAAAAAAAAGCGGAAAATTAAAAATGCCGATCAAAGTCCGGACATGTCCGGACAAATCCGGACGGATGGTAACCCTAACTGCGAGCCTATCATACATTTTAGAACAATATCCCTAGATAAACTTCCCTCAGGTTCGGTAAAAACATTTCATAGATTCAGTATAGAACATTAATTAACGAGCTTACTGCAAAGTGGTTTGGGCATTTTTCATACGATATTATGACAGCTACTTTATTTCGACTGAATAAAAGATTATAATTTTTATTATTTTTAAAGCATGTAACTGCTTGATGTTTAAATCTAAAGAAAATATAACTAGAAAAAATTCCACGCGGACCAGGCAGCAGACGGGACTCGAACCCGCACCCTTCGCAATCCGGGCGAATGCACTGACCAATTATGCTACCGCGGCCCTCACGGACCGCGTCGAAATTCTTTCTAGCTATTCTTAAGCTGCAAGGCAGCGCCATCTCTTCGCATTATAGGTAAACCCACAATGTCAAATGAATACTTTTACAAGTATTAAACATTTGAAAGAAGAAATAGCAATTATAGTTATAATTTTTATTATTTTTAAAGCATGTAACTGCTTGATGTTTAAATCTAAAGAAAATATAACTAGAAAAAATTCCACGCGGACCAGGCAGCAGACGGGACTCGAACCCGCACCCTTCGCAATCCGGGCGAATGCACTGACCAATTATGCTACCGCGGCCCTCACGGACCGCGTCGAAATTCTTTCTAGCTATTCTTAAGCTGCAAGGCAGCGCCATCTCTTCGCATTATAGGTAAACCCACAATGTCAAATGAATACTTTTACAAGTATTAAACATTTGAAAGAAGAAATAGCAATTATAGTTATAATTTTTATTATTTTTAAAGCATGTAACTGCTTGATGTTTAAATCTAAAGAAAATATAACTAGAAAAAATTCCACGCGGACCAGGCAGCAGACGGGACTCGAACCCGCACCCTTCGCAATCCGGGCGAATGCACTGACCAATTATGCTACCGCGGCCCTCACGGACCGCGTCGAAATTCTTTCTAGCTATTCTTAAGCTGCAAGGCAGCGCCATCTCTTCGCATTATAGGTAAACCCACAATGTCAAATGAATACTTTTACAAGTATTAAACATTTGAAAGAAGAAATAGCAATTATAGTTATAATTTTTATTATTTTTAAAGCATGTAACTGCTTGATGTTTAAATCTAAAGAATTTTTTCTAGTTATATTTTCTTTAGATTTAAACATCAAGCAGTTACATGCTTTAAAAATAATAAAAATTATAACTATAATTGCTATTTCTTCTTTCAAATGTTTAATACTTGTAAAAGTATTCATTTGACATTGTGGGTTTACCTATAATGCGAAGAGATGGCGCTGCCTTGCAGCTTAAGAATAGCTAGAAAGAATTTCGACGCGGTCCGTGAGGGCCGCGGTAGCATAATTGGTCAGTGCATTCGCCCGGATTGCGAAGGGTGCGGGTTCGAGTCCCGTCTGCTGCCTGGTCCGCGTGGAATTTTTTCTAGTTATATTTTCTTTAGATTTAAACATCAAGCAGTTACATGCTTTAAAAATAATAAAAATTATAACTATAATTGCTATTTCTTCTTTCAAATGTTTAATACTTGTAAAAGTATTCATTTGACATTGTGGGTTTACCTATAATGCGAAGAGATGGCGCTGCCTTGCAGCTTAAGAATAGCTAGAAAGAATTTCGACGCGGTCCGTGAGGGCCGCGGTAGCATAATTGGTCAGTGCATTCGCCCGGATTGCGAAGGGTGCGGGTTCGAGTCCCGTCTGCTGCCTGGTCCGCGTGGAATTTTTTCTAGTTATATTTTCTTTAGATTTAAACATCAAGCAGTTACATGCTTTAAAAATAATAAAAATTATAACTATAATTGCTATTTCTTCTTTCAAATGTTTAATACTTGTAAAAGTATTCATTTGACATTGTGGGTTTACCTATAATGCGAAGAGATGGCGCTGCCTTGCAGCTTAAGAATAGCTAGAAAGAATTTCGACGCGGTCCGTGAGGGCCGCGGTAGCATAATTGGTCAGTGCATTCGCCCGGATTGCGAAGGGTGCGGGTTCGAGTCCCGTCTGCTGCCTGGTCCGCGTGGAATTTTTTCTAGTTATATTTTCTTTAGATTTAAACATCAAGCAGTTACATGCTTTAAAAATAATAAAAATTATAACTATAATTGCTATTTCTTCTTTCAAATGTTTAATACTTGTAAAAGTATTCATTTGACATTGTGGGTTTACCTATAATGCGAAGAGATGGCGCTGCCTTGCAGCTTAAGAATAGCTAGAAAGAATTTCGACGCGGTCCGTGAGGGCCGCGGTAGCATAATTGGTCAGTGCATTCGCCCGGATTGCGAAGGGTGCGGGTTCGAGTCCCGTCTGCTGCCTGGTCCGCGTGGAATTTTTTCTAGTTATATTTTCTTTAGATTTAAACATCAAGCAGTTACATGCTTTAAAAATAATAAAAATTATAACTATAATTGCTATTTCTTCTTTCAAATGTTTAATACTTGTAAAAGTATTCATTTGACATTGTGGGTTTACCTATAATGCGAAGAGATGGCGCTGCCTTGCAGCTTAAGAATAGCTAGAAAGAATTTCGACGCGGTCCGTGAGGGCCGCGGTAGCATAATTGGTCAGTGCATTCGCCCGGATTGCGAAGGGTGCGGGTTCGAGTCCCGTCTGCTGCCTGGTCCGCGTGGAATTTTTTCTAGTTATATTTTCTTTTGAATAAAAGATTATTATAGGTTAGAAGTATAGTTAATGTTGCTATGAGCGATTGCGGTAAGTAGTCTTATTTTTAATCTCGCGATATTGAAAATGTGTCAATATAAATTTTAGTTACCCTGGATCTTCTTATCTATTCCCTGGTACTGTAGGCACTCCGGCGGCGGATTGCTCGCATCCAAAACTCCCCTCCATGGCAAAGCAGGAACAGGTTTCTGCAGCAAAATAATATTTCTTTTATAGTTATAGGTACATAATTATATCTCTAGAAATTAACACTATTTTTATAAAAAAAAAACCAGCAGATTATTCCCTAGTGGCGCGATTAAATTTGGTCGCTAGCCCGAATATGAGTACAAATGGAATTCGGGTAAACGGCTTAGTGTAAATGAACGCGGAGTCGAGTACGCCCGTATTGGGGTAGTTTTCGTTCTGGTTACCCGACACGGACTTCCAGCTCGTATTCCAGTGTAATGATAGTCCGAGAGATTCAATGTCCAATGAGTCCAATGAGTGCCCCAGCACTTGTAAATAGCAAAATCCCTTAATATCCCTTAATAGCCCATACCCACCTTTTTTACCCAACTGAGTAAAGCAAGAGCGCGAAACGCGACGCGCAGACAGAGTATAGTGTTTAACAGTCTATATATGTATGTATGTTCATCCAGCCCTGGGGCTCGTTGAAGTTGAGTAAAAACCAAACAATAATTCTGCACCGGTCACCCGATCCGCACGGGAGTGCGGGCGGTGTTATTGCACCCGTTTCGTGATTGTCCGTTTCCGGACCCCCCCCCCCCCCCCCCCTCCCGATGTGCGGTGCCCCGGAGTAAAAAGGGCACCATCCATCTCGGGAACCGTACAATGTAACTCGGCGCCTCCCACGTCTAGCCACTGGTTCCCGGAAATCCAAATCCACCTTAGTTATTTACCGCTTTAAAATTTGGGGGAAAATTGGATTGTTCCGTTCATCCTATGATATCTCATTTTAGTTATTATTATTTCTTTACTCAACTTATTTATGTTTCTTACTGTACTGTACTGTACTCACATTTTTTTTCATTTCATTAATCAGTATTCCTTGCTTAACCTGAATATGTAAGTTTGGAGAAGAACTCGGAAAATATTTATGTGTCTTCTAAGCGTGGTCCAAATTTGTTGCCTGGGAAAACTGAAACTCTTGTAATTTATTTGAATGATTACGCATTTCCAAAACGAGCAAACAGCCTTGGGCCACCTGATCCTTATCCAGTCATCCAACCAAAAAAATAATGATTATTAAAAATACGAGAAACATTAAACGCCAAAAACGTGACGATAAGAACTTAGATATATGATACAAGGAACTTCTTATAAGAAGTCAAGAAATTGGAAATAATATTTTTCTCGATCTCGAAATAGATAAGTTACCTTAACTGGAAATAAATAAGTGCCTGGACCATTAACTGAGCAAATAAGCTACAAATGTCGTGGGAAGGTGAATCGTTAGCACTCACTCAGAAAGTACGTCTACTTTTAGATTAATACATTCATTCCGAAATATTATTCCAAAGAAAACATGTTTTTCTTTCCTTGTAGGTAAATATATATTTACACGACACATTGGTTCTCACATCACACGTAAGATACGCAAAGTATTGTCTTTTATATATATTATATGCAGGAAAACATTCCATACAATACTAACTTTTGAATTACAGTCCGGAGTTAATATGTTTTACTTTCATGTCATTCTGGCATTATGTCCCAAGTGCGTTAAAATATAAAAGGGTTTTCCGATACGCTTTGAAATTTAGTCTCGTTTTTTTACTGCGAGCATGCGAACGAATAGATCCTTCCATTTTTCTGTGAGAGGACGTTTCATTGCAGAATAAACACATATCATACACTCCGTAGGTAAACAAATTTACCTTCTCTTTTATGAAGCGAATCGAGAGCATATGAATTGAATTTCACGCGCGTACATATACCTATTTTGTGAGATACTTTTACGGATTTATGCATTTATTTGTCACTGCATTTTTATGTCACAAACATCTTTAACGAAAATTGGCGCAAACTTAAGTTATGTATACGCAGTGAATATTATTTCTAAGGCAATAAATATTATTATTAATGTTTTGTCGTTTTTTATTTGTCCTTACATAACAATGTTAAATAAGTACCAGAGTATAAGGATACGTTGGTACTTATTGTTGATACGTTGGTTATTTCAGCCAGTATTTTTGATCAGATAATCCTCAAATTTATAATTTTTAATAAGCAAGATTATAGCGCAAGATCTCAATATTTCATATGTAGTCATGACTACAGTAGTACTACCACTTTATCTTTTGACGTGATGACGTCTTGTAAATCGATGAACACTAACTGCACGCACGTTATGTGACGTCATATCACGAGTTAGTTTAACGTTCCGCGTTATGTGTGAGGTGAGGTCGAGGGACACCCCCTGCCAACCCTTACCTGACCAATAACCAATTTAACCCCTAGAGGGTAAAGGGGGATATCAAAGTTTGTATGGCGAACTAAATTAATATTTTGACTTGAAACTTGTCAAGAGTACTTACTATCAAAGGTGAAAAACCAACAGGTGTTTTGTGATTTTCTGAAAAATAGCCCTTTAGGGGGTGAAATACGAGTTTCATTGACTCATCAATGCTAAGACCAACCTATTAGATCTATAGGACACAGAAGGTCCTTCTATGGCGCACCTATCAACGATATCAAGTACCCATACAAAGAATAAGTTGTGTTGAAATTCAAGCTTTTAAGGGAAAAATAGGACTTTTCAGTTTCTAAGGGAAATTATATTTAAGCATTTTACCTTGAAACTTGGAAAAAGGACTTCTGAAGAAAATAAGTAAATACGTATTACTTTATTCAGTGAATATTAACTCTTAAGAGTGGGTGCGAGCGGAGAGAAATTTGAGAAATAGGTATTTGAAAAAACTATTAATACTGTCACGCATTGGCAAATACCGTGCAATATGCGCAACAGTAGTCAACGCTGAAAATTGCGTAAAAAACTCGCAAAATTTGAGGTCTGGCTCTCGACGATTTCCTCCTCGAAGTAGATCATATAATCAACAAGCCCCTGGTCTTCACCAGTCGTATTGGTGAAGAAGATAAAGGGCATCATAAGGTTCCGCGTGGAATTCAGGATGTTGAACAATGTGACCAAGAAGGACAGCTATCCTTTGTCTCGTATTGACGACATGTTGGGAGGCATGAAGTGGTTTTCCATAGTTGATCTGAAGAGTGGTTATTGGCAGGTGGAACTCCGCCCAGAGGATAAAGAGAAGACTGCGTTCACTACTGGTACTGGAAAAGGGCTGTGGCAGTTCTAGGTGTTCCCTTCGGATTGTGCAACGCACCAGCTATTTGAACGGCTCATGGAACGTGTGTTGTTGGTGGGCCTACTGGGGGATGCGTGTCTTGTATACTTGGACGATGTCATCGTTTTGGGACGTATTTTTATTTTAAACCTTGAGATGAGACCTTTTACACGCCTAAACACCATATAACTGCACATAAGAATCCAAAAAAATATCTACTACATATGGTAGATACGCTTATCGCTACACACGCACACATTGACTGCTTTCAAACAATCTGACATGTCACGCACACATTGCTCGTAATATGAATCGTTTTATTTGTGTAGTATAATTTGGATTGCTCTATCTAGGTGTGTATATAATCAAAGCTTGACACAAAGGTATACATATAATATACAAGCACCAATATACATGTATCAATATACAAGCACTCACGTAGGTACCTTACCTTAGTAACTAAGTAAGACACAAAATATCGTATTCAATTTACGTAAAAGCTCAATTTTCTTCTTTAATTGTACTATAAAGTCGGCGGTGGTTAATTTAAATTTATCATTATAATGGCGACCATTAAATTGATTTCTGAAGATGGTAACATGATCATAAAATACCTATGTCGATATATTACACTCATATAAATAATGTCTTCATAAAACCAAACAGCTGTTGCACTTATGAAATTGTGTCTATATGAAATTAAGCTTGAAGGTGAACAAGCTATGAGGTAAACATACCTACTACCTGTACTTACTTTTAACAAAATTTATGGTTTACTAGCGGCCGCCCGCGACTTCGTACGCGTGGAGTTAGTTAGAAACAAAGGTTCACTGCTCGTTCCCCGTAGGTGATAGTGTGATAATATGTCTAGCCTATATGTTGACATGACTTCTTAATAATATTCGTGCCAAATTTGAAGTAAATCCATGCAGTACTTTTTGAGTTTATCCCGGACATACACACAGACAAACAGGCAAAAATTCTAAAAACTATATTTTTGGCTTCGGTATCGATTGTACATCACACCCTTTCCCCATTCTTTAAAAAAAATATTCAAAGTACTGTCTTGACTTTCCATTTTATTATATGCATAGATGTTGAGGCACAACAGACGTGCCCGCTTCTACCACCACTATAATTTTTGTTATATTATGATTTCGATAATTGTGGCTACACATTTGAACCGCGACACACTTAACGCCCTCATATATCTGCGTGTAAGCATACACACCAAGAACACAATTGTAGCAGGTGCATTTAGTAGCGAGACGAGAGCAAAAAGGAGCATGCATATCGTGGTAAAGTAAATGTTGCGTTCATGCACCCTGTGGCTCCGGTATGCGGCCTCGCTAAGGCCTCCCCGCATAGGCGCGTTATTATCGGTTGATAATAACGGATGCAAGAAAATTCGAGCGTGCCATGCTCTTTATATCCCTGAGAGATCGTGCACGCAATGAGGACATACGAAAAATAACGAAAATACCCGAAATTGCGAACTCACAGGGAAGATGTGGAGGTGGGCAGGTCACGTAACTGGCTGAACAGACGACAGTTGGAGTCGAGCTATTGTGAAGTGGCGACCTAGAACAGGATGAAGAAACGTAGGTACACAGCCTGCCAGATGGTCTGATGACATCACCAAAGTAGCAGGAAGAAGCTAGATCCGGATCGCATAACACCGAGCAAATAGGCGCACCATGGAGGTCTCCTCCATAAAGGTTGAAGAAGAGCATGACGGGTGCGTTATTACGATATCCATTTTTAATACTATCGAGTAATTTTGCGCTCTGTCACTGCTTTGAACGGTTTTCTACAGTAGTTTTTACTACGCTCCGCCTTCGCGTCGGACGTGCCAATCCGGGCCGCCGCACAAAAGTAAG